ACATACCAGTTTGATTTGACTCCACTTGATTATTTTTTTCCGATTGCTGGTTTGCGATTGGGTTCAACTTTAAATTGCCAAACATAAGCAAGTATTTCTCTTTAGTTGACCTTAGTTTTCTGTGGTATTGTTGCGACAGCTATAAATGAAAACCAAGGCACCGACTTCTGTAGCTAGATTTATTCACGCTTCAAACTGCAACAGTAGGTTTAGTTTAGTTTATGATTAGTTTTAACATTAGGTTAATCACTTACATTTCAGTGGCCCTTGCAATTCTATCGGCCTTTCACTTTCACTGTCCAACTTCAGGTTAGGTTTAGGTCCTACGTAGTTTGTAAGATTTGCATTATATTTATATTCTAGTTCTAGTTTTAATTCAATAGCCTTTCTTACCTTCACTAGTTCTTAGTAAGATAAGACGCTAGATTTTAGACACTAATTAGTAGAATTAATAGAATAGCACTCTAGAATAACAAATTAAATAAACTTTCATTATAAACGTCCACCTCATGTGGATCGACAAGTGTTTGTTCATCTATTGTCCATTTGTTTAGATTTACAAAATCCCACCCATGACATCTTATCAATAGCGACGGCTTATCAGTCAAGCGGTGGAACCGGTTGGGAAAGAGTGACCAACTCAACGGTACCGGTGTTAACAGGTATGTTTCATTTTTTTTGTATTTTTTCAATATTTTATCCATAATTCATAATTCTTCACTCAAATCTACTTTCGGTAATTAAAATATCGATAACAAATGCACAATCCACTTCGCGTTGTACAGTTAAACCGAACGTAAACAATCATACAAGAGCGTTCCATGCAGTTTTTAAAGCTTTTAACCAAATGGCAATACAACTACATTCTTGTACAACTCTGGAAGCTATTATTCAACGTTTGATCAACTCAGGTGTTTTATAAGAGCTCCCAATTGTTTGTTTTGATGCGTTTATTCCACGTTCAGTATAGCTCTTGTGAATCAGTTTAACTAAGGTGCTATAAAAGTTATCGTAGGTCTTATAAAGCATATAGGTAAACCGAACGTAAACAATCATTTAAGAGTGCTCCAAGCAGCTTTTGAAGCGCTTAACCAAAAAGGCAATACAACTCCATTCTTGTACAACTCTGGAAGCTATTATTCAACGTTTGATCAACTCAGGTGTTTAATAAGAGCCCCCAATTGTTTGTTGGGGTGGCAGACAATTTGAAGAACTCAGGATAAAACATTTTCTGGTCACGTTGTAGGCCATTCTAATTGCGTCAATTGAATAAACGTCTCATTTCTTACAACCTTGTACAAGGGATACTGTTTTTTCTACCTCATTATGCATAAATCAAAGGTTTACAGTGTGGGTCCAATTTTGGCAACACGTGTCCAATGTCTTTTACTTGCTTATGTACTGAACTTCAAGTTGGTTGTTTATGGACTAATTTACGATCTTTCACCTGTGTTTAAGGAAATCAATTAGGATAGTTTCATGCCTTATTTTTTTTTTCCTTGATTTGATTTCCGTCGATCTTGTTTTCCGTGCTGAGCACCAATGCCACCGACGCCAGGAAGGCAGCTCCCACACCTGGACCCTACCGACCTATCAACTCATGAACCGGGGACCAACGGCTTTACTTCCCTTCCGAAGGAAGGCGTGATCAGAGATTATACCTCAGAACATCCCGGCGGTGCCGACTGGGATTGAACCCAGGCCTGCTGGGGTGAGAGGTAATCACGCTTACCACTACACCACCGGCACCGCTGTTTCAAGTCTTATTATACTTGCAGACTTCGTCAGTGCCATCAGTGGTGTTGGTGAGCTAACAAGTTATCACTTGGATTTCAATACCATTATATTAAAAAGAGGATTTTTTGAAGCATTCCAGATTTTTCCAGATTTTACATCTTTTTCCTGAAAATGACCTGGCAACGCTGCTCGTGAGAGAGAATTTTCTCTCTCGAATTTGAATTTTTTGGCTCTCTGAAGACTAGTAGCATCTAGTAGTAAAGCAGGTAAAACGGTAAAACTGTATGGGGAAAAATCAATTTTATTTCATTGTTGCTAATTTAACAATAACTTCCGGGGAAAAACTGTACGACAAAGTCCCTGACTAATTTATTTAGGTTGTCGTTCACTTTTTTTGACCTGAATATGCACCGAAAGCTAATTATTCTCACTTCTCTCAATTGATCATTTTGTCAAGCTTCTGCATTCATGTTCCATCAGATGTCACAGCTGTTGTTTACGGTGACATCTATCGGAAACTAGACACAATCTGTTTTCCTATAGTTGTTCACAGAGGACACTGCACTGCAATATATGTCTGGTACCTCTATATATGCATTTAGATTATTATTCGAAGTCCCTCCTTTTTTACACATTCTGCACACAAAATAGCTCACCCCTCACAGAATTTCCCGCCGAATTTTATGTATGGGGCAATATATATATGTTAAATATATGTTAAAGCAAATGCATATATAGAGGTACCAGACATGTTTTGTAGTGTCAGGTACTCTATTTTGTAATCTGTGAAAGGGAAATCACAAATCGAGTGTCAACAAAATACATGGCATGTTGAGAGATTGAGCTCGTGAGAGAGAATTTCTCTCTCAAATTTGCTCTCTGGGGACTGGTAGTAAAGCAGGTAAAATTGTATGGGGAAAACTCATTTTTATTTAATTGTAGCTTGCTTAACAATAATTTCCGGGAAAAAACTGAACGACAAAGTCCCTGATTAATTTCTTTAGGTTGTCGTTCACTTTTTTTGACCTGAATATGCACCGAAAGCGATTTATTCCCACTTCTCTAAGGCTGTGAACCATTTGCCAAGTTAAATTTAACTCGTGGTTAAAAGTGACATTTCGAAAGTTATTTTCTATGTTCGAAAATCCCCGTGCTGTCGATCGACCGGTTTTCGAGCCACGGTTGTCAAAATTTAACTTCTTGTCTGTCAGAAATAACCATGCTCGGATAGCAGGGTTAATCGATAACTTTTCATCTGTCAAATTTTAACCAAAAGTTAAAATAATCCACCAAATGGTTCAGAGCCTAAATTTCTATATGGGGATTTTTACCACTTCCTACCAGCGGAACAGCGCCATCTCTGTGGAAAATGGTCGAACAAAATGATTAATTTCCAAATGGGGATTTTTTCACTTCCTACCAGCGGAACAGCGCCATCTCTGTGGAAAATGACCGGACGATATGATTGATTTAAAAAGGTACATCAGGGCAAGTTGAAACGGCTTTTTCAAAGTTGAACTGTGAGGCTCTCTGGAAAAATAAAAATAAAATAGCATAAACCCGATGCTAGAGTTGCAATTTTTACAAAAAATCAGAAGGTCCCTTTCAGTTAGCGAACGTTTAGTGTACTAATTTTAGATTTTCAATACATCAAACAAATCGATTTCTTGCATTTTTTTTTTACTTCTTCGCATCGGACACTCACTCACTCATGTATCCTGCACAACTCCTCTACTGCCGTTCTACGCATAACTGTCCCATGTTCTATGCAATCCTTATGCACCGTGGGACTCTTATGCGTTTAACGGCAGTATAGTCTTGCAAAAGGCCAACGTGAAGGAGTTCCATCCATTCCTTCATATGGGACAGAACTTTCTGGGTGAGATAGCATTGAAATTATAGGGGAAATTGATGTAATGTCGGCCTGTATGCCCCTAATTTGGGCCCATACATAAATGCAGCAATCGACTAAATTTACAATAGTGGCCAAAAATATCAATTAGTACCGTCCCAATGACGCGTTCATCTAGATAAAATTGATTTATAGTAGATTTTTAGCGATGGGCCCAATCTTAGATCCATTTCCCCTATTTATTTTAATATTTTTTATTGGGGATGGCACTAATGCCTCATACACTTGCCCGTTGTCAACCACTTCATTCGAGCAGTTAAAATGACGTTTACTACCACTCGAACTTTGAAATAAAACATTATTCAAAGATTTTTCTTCTAGAACCACGAGAAAAGTAGCCAAAATATGAGCGTTTCATAAAAAAATAGAAATTAGTTGGTCCAGTTTTGTGAAATCGCTGGTAGAAAGTAACGCCAAAACTGCTTGACAAAGGGGTCAATTAGTTTCACCTTACGCCTGCGAGTATGCAGCGGTATTTACAATCTGTATTGTGTATTGCATATCAAAAGGGACTTGCTGCAATTATATACACGGTCGTTTAGATCAACTCAAAGTTGAGTCAAAGAAAATTCAATAAAAGTTTCACTCAGTTACACGGAAATGAAAAACTATCTCAAATTAAGTACTTTCCCTCAATTCCCGGGTTCAGCCCAATAACCCAAATTTGAGTAAATCGCATATAGTAGTTTCCATTTAGCACAAGCAAAAAAATACTCTTAGGTATATTTTACCAAAAAATAAGTTTAATTCACGTAAATTTGAAGTTTGAACTATATCGTTGGTTCGAATATCTCATTCATTTTTTTGACAACAATAACGAATTCAAGTGAGAGGCTCAACTCAAAATTAAGTAGACCAGTAGACTGAATGAAACTTCTATCGATTTTCCACATATTCAAAAAGTTTTTTTTTTTTTTTTCGGGAAAAGCCGGCAAAATTCAACTCACTTTTGAGTGTTGAAAATATCCGGGAATATCTTAACAAGGCCGAGGCGTTCAAAAGAGAATCGATCAATGTAGGTAGGACCTATTGAAAAGTGACGCGAGAATGTCTCTTTACCAAACTTTAATATTTCTAGCGTTTAGAATCATAAGGGCGATTTTTTCTACACATCACTACAGTAAAGTGAACCAATTTTCCGAAATTATTCCGTATACAGTGTAGGAAAAGGTTGTGTTAATACAAATTAGGTAACAAGAGCTAGCTAGGTAATAAAATAAACATCAAACACACCGAGAAAATTTGTTGGTTTAATGTTCAGCTAGCCGAGTTATTATTAAAAGAGATAACGATCATCGCAGTTAGGTCTTTTTCTGATTCAAAGCGTAAGGAAAATCAAACGCATGAACTATGTTTCAATCTAATTTATTGACATCCAAGTGATAGTAAATGACACATACAATATTCTACGTTGGTTAGAAGGATTGACCGTCACGTAGCCACACGATTTACCTGCATCTGTTATCTAATTCCCAATTTTAGTAGTATGATTTTGTATTCAGTATAATCGGTTCCTTACGGTTAGCAACCACAGTATTACTAGAGAATCATAATTCCCCATATCGGAATTCTCGTAGCATTGATAATTAAAACTCCACTCAAGTGACACGCTGACTAAATTGCATAAATCTGGCAGTCCTTCAATCACGCAGCAGCTTAGCTGGCAACCAACTTTTGCAGCTGCTCGCTGATTTCCGCCGAATCGATGTCTTTTTTCGCGTCCTTGATTTGCCCACCCTGAGCGCTGGTGGACGACGGCCGAGCACAAACCTTTTTGTGCATAAACCAATGCAGCCGTTGGCACTCGCGGTCGCAGTACTGCACTTCTTTGCATTTGGAACACTTCTTGTCCGGTTTTTCTTCGCCGCATGAGCTGCACAGCGAAATCGTGTCCTGAAAACCGCGTTGCCCATTGATGGCCGATTTGATGATTTCCAAAGCGCTGGCTGGATTCTCTTTGCTGGCCAGCTGTGTCACCACCTGTCGAAAAATGGTACACTCCCGGAAAGGGAACTCACGAACGCATTCACGTATCGTCGCTTCGACATACTCCAAGGAGCCGTCTTTGCCTGGAATAAATTCAAATTTTTAGCTATATTTCTATCAAGACCACAAACATCCACCCACCTTGCTTGAGAACTCGTTTGGCGAACAGCTCGACAAAGTCACTCTTCTGATCCTTGCCATTTCCTCCGTCAGCTTTGTCCTTCCGGGCAAGGAAGTAATCCCGACATTTGGCAATCTCGTTTACAATGTACCCTAAATAATGGTACTTGAAGGCCATCACCTCGTTGATTTCATTCCGACGCTTCATTTCCCGCTCCATCATTTCATCCAGAACTTTCCGGATTCGCTTGAGATCCTCAATGAACAGTCCATACTTCTGCAAATTCAATGCAATCCGCACCGGATGAATGTTTATCTGCATAATAAACTTATGGAAACCATCCAGATGGACCACCGGAAGCATCGGTTCCTTTTGAGATCCTTGAACCTTTGTGTAGCACTCGATCTCCTTCACCGGAACAAAGCTATTGATCGTTGCCACAACCTGATGGTTTGCTACGAACGCCGCCATCTGTGCCGCGGTCCTACCGATCGTATTAGTTGCATCCGCTTTGGCGCCCGCCAACAGCAGTTTCATACAAACATCCACACTTCCGGAAAGAGCACCAAAATGCAGAGCAGTATAGTTGTACTCATGCTTACCAGAATTGACATCGGCACCCTGATCCAGCAGCATTTGGACCGCATCCTTGTTACCCTTGTAGGCTGCATGTTGCAATGGAGTCATCCCATTATCGTCGACAAAATCCACGCTCTGCTTGAATCGGGACAGTACCAGCTTCAGTTCGCTATTTTCATTATTGGAGATCCGATCGAAGATTTCCTTCTGCTCCGATGAGAGAATCACTTTCGGTGCTGCGGGTGCTGATTCCGCTTTGCTGCTCTGCTCGGGTTGTTCCTTTTGTTCTGCAGTAGGTTCCGTTGCCGACATCGCTGGAGAAGTTAATTGTTGTTGCCACAATTACTAGAAATTAAAGATTCTTCGAGGAAAAAGATTTTCCGAACTTTTCTGCCTTAATGAAAAGTAAACATGCGCTTTTCTTGCCCCCGCAAGAGTTTGACAGATGTTGTAGCAAGCTGTCACACTAAAAGAAGTACTAGAATTCCAGGCAACGTAGGGCAGGGATGCCGATTAATTGGTATCATTTTTGAAGACCACACCCGACGTCGAAAGAAAAACGAAAATCCGAAATGGATTCTGAGGCAGTGTTCCATTTGGTGAATTTTCACTTAAATTTGACACTTCGAAATAAATTATTCTCTTCGAAAATCCCTCTCTTGTTGAACGTCCGATTTGCGAAAAAGTGTTGGTCGAATTTGAGTCCTGATCTGTCAGAAATAAGTCTGCTCGAATAGCAGGTTTATTTGAAAATTTTCCCTCTGTCAAATTTAAGTGAAAATTCACCAAATGGAACACAGATTGAATCCAATCCGGATCCTTCCCCTCCTCTGACACCAAACGTACACACTTAGGCCACAAACGAAGTGACAGACGGAGCGGCTCGAAAACTTTGGTGACTAACCTGCTATTGCAATTTTTCAGTGTACCACATGGCAACACCACTACTACTGGATTGAACCACATGGCAACACTACTACCAACAATCAATACGAAACTAACGATTTTAAATTGGCTCACCACTTTAGTAGCCTATTGGTCCCAAGCAAACGATTAACGTACCCTATTCTAGTTGAAATTCTATTACTACACTATGTTTGTTTTGATTCGCTATGAAAGTTTGACAGATAACATCAGGGGTGTGTGGATTCATGCAGAACATGCAGGGGTGAGTGAAATAGCTTGGGACTGCTTGGGACCGTTGTTCTGGTACTGAGTGAGCCAAAAATAATAATGATTTTCTTCGGGACCCAGTGGTCTTAGAGTTACCTCTATGGTACTAATTTGTATGTCTGTCTGTGGTATAAGTGAAAATTCACCAAATGGAACACAGATTGAATCCAATCCGGATCCTTCCCCTCCTCTGACACCAAACGTACACACTTAGAAAATAATACTGAACTCGTTTTAATTTTCTACCAAAACTCTTCGGTTACCAACGAGAAACCGAATAAATGATTTGAAAACCATTTTTTCAGGCGTATTTATCTAATCAGACCCGAATTTCGGTAAAATAGTATAAATTTGACAGATAGAAACGAAGATTGAACCGAAAAGTACGGTAATGTATCTTAATTTACGAATTCGCTACGTGAAAACCGAGAAACTCGATAAACTGAACCGAATATTCACTAAAACGTGTTAAACTTCAAACGTTTAAACGTCAAACGTTACACTTGCGCTCAACTTCGCGACGGAAATTTTAACCAAAAACTTGGTTCTCTAAGCTGAGTCTAAAATTAGGCAACCATTTTTTCTCGCGTGTGCTCGTCGGACGTGTGCAAAACTGTAGTAAAAATGGAAAAAGTTCTGGAGCAGCTGCAACAGGAAGATTCACTTCTGATTGAAATCTTATGTAAGTATTTGAAACTAACGGTATGATTTTATTTGCAGGCATCTTGTGCTATACCCAAGTAACCATAGGCACGTTATTTCGCCTTTTTGGCTACATACGGGTTTCATCAGAACTTGCAAACACTTGTTTAGCCGTTGTTCAGCTGTATATAGTCAAAAAGGCAAAATAACAGGCCTATGGTTACTTGGGTAGTTTGTTTCTTCTGCCGTGCAAATATACAAGGTTATGTCTCTGACTTGTAAAGGCATTTTAAAAACCATTTGAATCAGAAAGACATCAAAGTCAGTGAAATTTTTTTGACTGTACTTTTCCACGCTGTAACTCGTGTTACGGAAATTTTTATTCGCCAAAACAAATTAAATAAATATATTTCATAAATTTCTTTGCCAAAACTGGTTTTATTTTTATGAAAATTCGAAGCAACGTATCCTTAATCAAAATTTAAAGCAGGATTTGAAGTGAAAACCGAGAGCTGCCCAAGAGAACCGAATTCCGTAATTACAACAGGTGGGTCGGTTTGACAGCGTTCGGTAATTCTTGAGTAAACCGATGTTCGGTTATTTCTGCTTAAATTTATTTTTCGTCAACTGAGATTTTCAGTAACTTTGACAGATTGTGGGTAGCAAAAAGAACTAACGACTGCTCGGTTATTCTTCTTTGAACCGAACAGACTATCGACCACCAGATCCTAACTCGTAACAAATCAAAATTGAGTCGAACATGTTCATTTCAGCGGGAAGTATGGCTACTCAAAAGTGAGTTGGTGCACTTTTACTCATTTTTGAGAAAACGACGTTCTCGTGCATAGTGAGTCAAAACCACTTTGTGATATTTTCAGCCGGTAAGTTTTTTTTTATTTGTTTTGATACAAAATGGAATAGCAGTTAAAAATTATGCTTCCTACCACTCGAACTTCGCAGTAACACAATATTTTGAAAGAGTTTCTTCTAGAATCACGAGAAAAGTAGCCAAAAGTAGTGCGTTTCATTTTTTTTTCCTTTGATTTGTTTTTTGTCGATTTTGTTTTCCGTGCTGAGCACCAATGCTACCGACCCCAGGGAGGCAGCTTCCACACCTGGACCCTACCTATCGACTCATCAACTCATGAACCGGGTACCAACGCCTTTACTTCACGCAGAAAAAAGTATCATCGAAACAAAAATATTTGAGGTAAAAATAAACGTAAACTCAGTTTGTTCTGGCCACAAAAATAAAATAGGTTGATTCAAACGTACGTTATCTTCAAAGTCATGTAATATAAATGTTTAAAATAAAAATCATTATACGTTTATTTTAAAAATATTCGAGTTGAAAATAAACGTGAATATTTTTGTTTGATTTGACAGCTTTGTAAACAAAAATAAATATTTTTATTTTAAACATGATTTTAGATAGTTGAAGATGCTAATTTCAAATAACAGACTGTAGTGGTAATTTTTATACGATAGATGGAGTAGATGAAAGCATAGAGTTGATAGTTCCGTTAGAGTACGGCAGTGTGAAGATTGTATATAGATATTAGAATAGCGAACTAGGACAACTTTTAAGGAAGGTACAAATCGGTTTTTTCATCTCTCTTTACCAAACTCCCCCTTTGGAGAGGGATGGTGGGGGGTGTCCCCCCCCCGCCACCACTGGCAAAAAGAGATGAAAACCGACCCGTTCAAGTACCAACTGTGTGTTTGAAACAGTTCTACCGATTTTTACCGCACTTCAATTGTTATTTGAAGGAAGGCATCCAGTCGTAGGTTTGGAAATTGCAACTATTGTTTACCCCTACCACGATATGTGGGTGTTGCTACTGACTTCACGTAGAAGTAATACTAAAAACATATATAGTCAAAGTATGATTTTAGAGTTTATCTTAAACGTATTTAATGTTAAGAACAAATAGGTATATATTTATTTTTTTTTTTTTTTATAATTACTTTATTTGTACAGGCTCAATTGAATAAACTTTACAGAGCCGAGTTATCCTTTGCGTTATACATTATTACTGTCTTAAATTTAAAGTTAAAGGAACTGGACCGAGTACTCGCGGTTGTCTCGAGGTTAGTGGAGATTTACAATTTTTTGGATGGGAAAAGGGAAGAAGGAGGTTTGAAATGTGGTTTACGATACAACTATTTAATTAATCCTAAAGCATGAAATTATTTCTATTCATCTTGAAAACAAACATTGAAAAAAAAAAACCCACACGTACAAAATACAAACTAAGCACAAGGTTAATCAAACTTACAATCTAAGGTTAATATCCTTAAAGTAAACATATATGAGTTTCATAAACTCCAGATCGCGTCTAGCCAAAATATCCCGAACTGGAACATTAGGTTGTCTACCTCGAGCCCGAAGGGAATCATAAAAATGTGATCTGACTCCACGATACTCCGCACAAGACCAAAGGATGTGATCAGCGTCCTGGTAACCTTGTCCACATTCACAGAGATTGCTGTCTCCCAACCCCACACGGAACAAGTGAGCGTTTAGACAATAGTGATTGGACATGAGACGAGACATCACGCGTATGAAGTCTCGATTCAAGTCCAACCCTTTGAACCATGCAAACTTCGACACCTTAGGGATAATTGAATGTAGCCATCGTCCCAAGCTCCCTTCACTCCATTGATGTTGCCAGCTAACGAGCGACTGCTGACGATAAATAGAGAAAAATTCACTATAGGCGATCTGTCGATCATAAATGTCGCCTTCCATAGCGCCCACCTTCGCAAGTGAATCCGCCTTCTCATTGCCCAAAATTGAGCAATGCGAAGGGACCCACGCGAAGGTGATGATGAAAGAGCGCACGGATAAAGTACTAAGCAGTTCTCGTATTTTCAAGAGAAAATACGAGAAGTGCTTTACCGGCCTAATGGAACGGATAGCCTCGACAGAACTGAGACTATCCGTAAAAATAAAGTAGTGGGCTGGAAGAAGTGAAGCAATAGTTTCCAAAGTGTAGTGAATTGCTGCCAGTTCAGCCACATACACAGAACAAGGAGCTTCAAGTTTTCGAGAGGCGCTATGAAATTCATTAAATACACCAAAACCAGCGGACTCCTCTATTAGAGATCCATCTGTGAAAAACGTTCTTGCAGAATCAACATGGCCAAACTTTGCAGCGTATAATGACGGAGCAATCATAGGACGATGATGCTCTGGAATTCCGCGGATTTCCTGCGTCATAGATAAATCAAAATTCACTGAATTGCCGAAATCGGAGAAGACTACACGATTGGGAATATTTCTTGAAGGGCTGACATCCTGTGTTAAATAAAGGTAGTACAAAGTCATAAAACATGTTTGAGGATTTAGCTCCAGAAGCTTCTCAAAGTTTTCGATCACCAGTGGGTGCCTATTTATTTATTATTATTAATCATCAATGCGCGATAAAATAAAAAGGTTCGTTTCTGATCAACCTGACACACTCAAGCTGGGCAGACAGCTGTAAACCAAATGCGATTCTTCCACAATGCAACGCTTTCGAGACATGGCAAAGAATGCTGGTAACCGGGCGTTTGATGACTGTATAATGTCTCCACGTAGAACATCTCATCCAGGAGCCAGTCCT